GCAGTCTAGCACAGTGAGTGTCCATTTCCCCACAGCTTCCCCCAGCCTCTTCCTGCCCCACAGGACTCCTGGGAGCTCCCAGCCTCTGGCAGCAGCCTAGCAAGGCTCTGGGCTGTGCTGCAGTGAGCGGCAAGCCCGCTCATTTAATCTATTCAATTGGATTCAATTTCCAGCCACATGATTCAATTAGCCCTGGAGGGACACCACAGAAAGCAGAGGCTGCAGAGCATGGCCCAGACCGTGCTCCAGCAGCTGCTGAGCTGGGAAAGGACAGCACAGTGTGGAGCCACAGCAGCAGGACCCTGTGGTTGTCCTGGCCCTCTGGGACACACTGAGATGATGGGGGCTGCACGGGGGTCCCGTCCTGGCCAGGAGAGGCAGTGGCTCATCTGGGCACAAGCTGCTGATCCGGAGTGATATGTGGACAGCCACAGGGAAGAAGCTGGGGAAGCCTCGTCCTGAGCATGTCCTTTTGCAGTCAGTCACAACCCTGAAAGGTGACAGCCACTCTGGGTCTGATCGGAGGTCTGCACTCCTGAGCACTTGCCAGGGTGGCCTAAAGAAGCTTTAAAAAGACTACAAGAACATTCAGCAGTGCTGCCCCAGGGGGGCTGCCTGTCATATACACTTGGGATCACCCCTCTGCTTGATCAGTGTCCCCCTGAGCTTACCCACACCATGCTGCAGTGGGGAGAACCAGGGCTCTGAGCAGCACAAAGGACTTGCAACAGCCCCAGGGCCCTCCAGGTTCCACAAGCCTTGCAACAGCCCTGCTCCAGACTCCTGGCCCAGACTTTCATTCACCACATACTTTTCTGTCTGCCCTCCCCCTGAAAGCATCAGCAAAAGCATCCATAAGTTCCCACTAGGGGAAAAGCACATCTTATCCTGGCCCCTTTGGATTCTTACCGCTCCCAAAGCTCTTTCCTTTCAGGTTATTGCAATGGCTCATCTGCTAAAAAACCCAACTCATCACCTCTACAGGGACATACTTTTGTCCAGCACAAGCCTGCTCATCCCAAGTACCAAACAGGAAAACAGAGTGCAGAAAACAGGAGATGAGAATAAATATCCATAAGGCATTGGTGCTGACACCAAGATGGAGAGCTGCTTTCAAGTGCCAAGAGCCAGCTGTAAATCTTACCACACTGCTGGCCACGCACTAGTCCCAACACACAGAGTGGCAGCCGTGACTTGGCAAGGGGAACAGCATCTCCCCCTGTCTGCCCTGTACTGGGACATGAGCTGGGAAAGATAGTGACTCCACCCTGGGAGGGAAGTGTGGGGAAGCAGATGGAGCACACTGGGGCTGATCCCCTGTGCACATGCTGTCTAGGAGGTAGCTCTCTTTGGGACTTCTCCCCCAGCTACTCCTCCTGATACCCACCATGCTACAGCTTGGCAGGACATTAGGGGAAGTTTAGGTTAGATATTAGAAAAAAGTTTTTTCCTGTGACGGTGGTGAGACACTGGCACAGGTTACCCAGGGAAGTGGTGGCTAACCCAGCCCTGGCAGTGCTCAAAGCCAGGCTGGATGGGGCCTTGAGCATCCTGGTCTAGTGGGGAGATGTCCCTGCCCATGGCAGGGGATCGGGCCTAGATGATCTGTAAGGGCCATTCCAACCCCTAAAATTCTGTAACTTTATGATTCTATGACCCTAGAGCAGGGACTGTCCAATTCTTCAAACAGGGAGAGAAAAGCACCCCAGTAGGCAGCCGCACATGCTTATATGGAGGGCAGCTCAATCCTACAGAGGTACTGCCCTTGTGCCATGCATACAGGACCACAGCAGATAACAGCTGTAACGAGGATGAGAATGTTTGCAAACCAAACAGAGCAGGTGGGTGAAGGTGCACCCCTCCCTCTGGCTGCTGTACCTGATCAGGGGTTTGGTACTGCCAAGCACACAAAACAGCACAAGGAGCTGATAGCCTGTGCAGGGAAGACTCAGCTCCTAAGGAGCTGCCTCTCTCTCATCTGCATGAAAAGTGGGACCTTTAAGAACTAAGGAAGAAGAGACCAAAAAATCACAGCAGCACTTACAAATCAATTTTTAGTAACTCCCTCCAAAGTTTAGCTCAAAGTCAATTCTTCTCTCAGAATTTGCTCATTATTTTGTAAAATATTTGTCTCCGTGCAGCAGCTGCCTAATTTAAAGGCAGCAATCTGATTTCTCTCCACACTCCCCAAGCCTCAAAAACAGGTCTTCCAATAATAGACTGAGTTATGAATTAGATATAATAAAACACACTCACCTGCTAAGATATGGGAGAACTTGAGGCCATCAGCCACATCCTGGAGCTGAACATTAGAGTTAAATCACTTTCTGCTCAGCTCAAGCTGGCCTCAAAACACAAGTAGTAGTAGTAGGGTGTTTAACAAAGCAGGCAAATGCGCAGCAGAATCTGTGAGCAGGAGTTTGCTGACACCAGCACCAGAGAACTTCACACCGCACACAGGCAGGTCCCTGCATCCCTCGCTCACAGGCTCTCAGCCTTGCCCATGTCTTCCTTACAGGCAGCCCTAGGGACATGTAAGAGGAAGATGGATGCTGACTACTGGCTGGTCCCTGCAGCCTGGACCAAAGAGTAGGAGCACACCTCCCTCTGCACAGGTAGAAAGACCCCAGGGGCGTGTGACAGACCTGGTGCAGCCAGCATGCCACTAAACGGTGACATGGCTACCCCATAACCACCCCACTCTCCCCACTGTGAAGGACAAATGCTGCACACTCTGGACAGGTAGGGCTCTGCTATTTATTGAGCTCTAGGTTTGTATGTACATCCATTTACAGTGCTTGGTTCAGTGACAGCGTGACAAGAGGACGTGTGTCACAGTCTTCCTCAGCTCAGACTTGGACAACAGCTGAGCTCAAGAGTTGAACCCAGTCAGTCTGGGCTTCTCTGATTATCCCAGCCAGGGAGAGTCCTGGGAGAGAGAACTGAGCCCAGAGTGACAAGCTGAAAATTCCAGGAGTTGCCAAGGCAGAGGCAGACTCATCCCGAACTCTCTCACGTATCTGTCCAGGTTCAGCCTAAATGGGATCAGAGAACAGGAGGCATGTGGATAGCTGGGTGACTGAACATACTGACAGCTACAAAGCTCTGCTAGGGCTGCACCTCAAGCTCCCTTTAGAAGGAATTCCCCCTCTCAGAGGTGAGATTCCCCACACACACACAGACAAGCACCATGAGCTGTAAACAATTGTTACTCATTTCTCGTTGGAAACGCTGCCTCCTCCTACATGCCCTAGCCTCCTCTCAAGCAGTGACTTCATGGAGCCTGCTTGCTCTCTCAAGCACTGTCCCTCTGACATGTACACATTTCCACACACCTGTAATGGCACAAAGCAAGTAAGTGTCTGGCTTAGCTGTTAAAAGCCAGACAATTCCCTGCTGAGGCAAAGTATCTTCTGCTGAGAGAATCTGGTGCTCCCAAGGAAAACACACAGGCTCCATGGGGTGCCGTGGCCAGTGGGTGGCCAAGACACAGCTTTCAGTTTCCCATGCTCATGGCAGGTAAAGATGAAACATTAACACAATTAACACAGGTTAGCATGAATAAGCCTTGCCTAAAAATGGTAGTAAATGAGCATGACATTCACATTACTCACACTAACCTACAAGGCTAAGAGCAGGACTAGGCACTTAAAAAAAAAAAAGTTTCCTAAGGGGAAAAAAAAAAGTGGGTCTGGGATGTAAATAACTTCTCTGCTTCAGTCCACCAAGTCAGGCCAGACCCTAACATCACTGCTGGGAGCTGAAAATGCATGAGCAGGGAATGGGTGTTTATGTTGTGTATTCCTGAGCTGGGAGCCTGACACAGCAATCTGAACAGGCTCTGCCAGACCTGGGCACCTCTGGAACACTGGCTCTGGAGCAGAAAGCTCTGCCTAAGCCCCACAGCATCATCCCAGAGCTCTTCCTTAGGAAGCTCTCAGCAGACTGTGGCTGTAAGTCACTTGGTGAAGACAGGAGGGCAAGTGAGAAAGCCAAGTTACTAGTTCTTCAGCTGTATTTTAATTGTGTGCTACACACAAGGGAAAAACCAGGGACATCTTCATTCATGAAGGTCACCAGGCACCTGCAAACATGTGCAAGGCAGATGTTCCTGCGAGGAAGAGGACTGCCACACGGAGGTCTCTGATGGGCAATAAGGTGAGTGAGGAAAAGGAGTCAGCTTGTCCTCTGCCCCATGGAAACTGAATATCTAAAAATGTCCCTCAACCTTAGAAAGAGCAGATGAGCTTGGGCTACTGAAGCAAGAGTGATCCCAGGCAGAGCTGGTGCCCTGTAACAAAATGCTCTGTCTGATGACCCATATTCTTGCACACTGGCTCAGACTGGATCCTGTAAGCCAACAGCCTTAGAGACAAAATTTCTCCTTCCCCAGTAATCCAATGACTTGGTTGAAATGACACCTTCTGCCATCAGGAGTCAGCAGTGATCAAGGCCTGCTCCTTGGGAAACATGTATACCCCAAAACCATTCCCAATGGAATGGCAGCAGATTTTACTCACATTACATACAGAGGGCAGACTGATCCAGGGTTATAAAAAAGAACAGCCCTCACCTGGGATCAGAGAGCTTTCTCCATAGAGCAGGTAAGCGATTTCAACCCAGAAGAGTTTCACACAGCTGGACTGGTTTTATTATTTTGGTTGTAAGTTCTCCCCAGCTCTGCTACAAAGGTTTCCAGCGCATCTTCCCTGAGGCTGTGGAGGGAATCTCCCACTGCTACGTTACAGGAACGGCTGCCCACTCCCATGGCACCTTAAAAAACTGCTTTCTCCTCAACATGCCAATCACCTCTCCTCAGCCCAAGTTCTGCTGAAACACATTCCTTCAGGATCAAACACACGGCAGCAAGGATTTCCCCTAAAAGAAACACAGTTCCTTCTGCAGGCGGAAGGCAAGGGGGGACTGGCTGCTGAGCTGTAGTGTCCCTGCCCAGACAGGCCTGTCCCTGCTCAGCCTGGCGCAGCAGCAGTGGCTCTGCTTCAAGAGATCGTGGAGAATTCCTTCAGCAGCAACTCCTGGCTCAGCGTGTTGAAAGCAAGGTTCTTCCTCACATTGATGCTGATGGACCGAACCTGATAGAAACAAAACAAGATGTTTTAGCCAACGGACTTTCCCTGGCTCCTCATGAGCCTGGCAGCTTTGACACTGCTGACCTCCATGCTCAGCATGAAACTGTTTTGCACACTGTTACAGCTCCACAGAACTCGCTGCAGCAAGCTCTTACAGATGCTCCAGCTTAGCAAGAAAACACTGAGATTTAGCAGTTTCCCAGAATAACAGGAATGTCTACAGTGACATCGCAGCAAGGAGAGCAAATTCCCAATGAGACAGAGATGGGAGAGGATGCCCTGTCTGGATGCATGAGGTACGTGTTTCCAGTTCTGGGACAAAGAGATGGGGAAAATGATCACTTCCAGGTTGCAGCTGGAGGATCATATTCTGTCAGTACCCACTGGAGTGCCAGCCACCATTTTACTGGATTAATGCAGTGCCATGATCTCTGTCCTGCTCCAGAACCCACAGAGCCAAAGGTACAGACTCAAGGGAAGGACAGAGGCCATGCCTCTGTCCTGTAAACACAAATCATCACCCAGGCTGGCAGAAAACCCTGGGTTGAGAGCCAGCTGTGTGTGCTGAGTGCCTTACACTCGCAGCTGGCTCACTGACTGTCTCTGAAGAAGAGTCACCTTTATCCCTTAGTAACACCCAAACTTCTGGTCACCCACATAGCATCAAGAAGAGCTGGGCAGTTTTGTTGCACGGCAACTTCCCTTCCCCCTTCGTGCCTGCAGACTTGTTGGCCGAACACACAGGCCCCAGACTGGGCTCAGTCTCAGCTGCACTTGGCAACGAGAAAACAAAGTCAAACATCATCTGTGTCAGCGACTGTGCAGCAGTGACAGAAAGCAAAACTGACACAAGCTCATCCAAACAACAGGATTACAGTTCCCAGAGACTTGGAGCCTGTGATAATAAGGTTGTTGCTGACCTGGTTAGTGTTTTGTGCTTTTTAAAAGCACTGGGGGAAGAATTATATAGAAGCAGAATGAGGAATCCAACACAGGGGGCTGAAATGGCACATATACATACATATATACACACACATATACACACTGCTGAGGGTCCCACTTGCCACCCTGGTGAGAAAAAAAGAGGGGAGTGGGAAGGCAGAAAGCTCCCCACAAGGCAGAATGCGTAAGAGAGGGAAGGCAATAGAAACATGTAAGGTTAACAGGGAAAGCTGTGAAATAAACCCCAGTGAGCCCCACTGCAGAGATCCTAAGAACCCAAGCAAGCCAGCAAAGATGTCTACACTTAAAGACAGAGTATTTAAGTTTTATGTCATCTGCAGAAACCACTAACTCTCCGTCATCAGGATGCTTGGCAGAGACCCCATGCATCTTCATTCCCTGGGAGCACCCCCTCACCTCTCTTCTCTAGGTGTCACTTGATTTACTCCATCCTGAAATAGTCTGGGATCATGTCTTGCAATGGGATAAACACCACTGCAAGTGGTCTCCAGAACAGTTTTGTGCTGGACTGTCTTGCTGCCAGGAGTCCCACTGACAGCATTTGGTCCCAGTCCTACCAAGAGCTCCTACCCCAGGGATCCAGTCAGTTCTCACAAGAGGGAAAGAAGAACATGGCTAACCAGATGTGGAGAGTCCTCTGCCCTGGGGAATGTGACTGCCTGCAGAGAAGGGGCAGATGTTACAGCATCCTTGTTCTGACCAGAATCATTTCTATGGGTCAACAGAAAGGTTTTTTTGAGCTCCTGGTCTCAGGAACTGCTGGCAGGAGCCAGGGACCAGCAGTACAAGATGCCTAGCTTGTATACACATCCAGGTCTCCAAGAAGGATATGGCAAAAATCTCTGTAAGACCAGAAAGGGAGGCTGGAGTGGTAGGATAAGAACACAGAGCTTAGCAGAACTTGTAGCTATGGGATAGAGCATGAGAAATTAATTAGCCTGATCAGTTTGCAAAGAGAAGGAGCAATAGAGCAAACACTCTCCAATATGTAAAATGAGGTCAGAAAGAGAACAGTGAGTAATATTTATCTGGCTCCCCAGGGATGGGGTAAGAAACACTCAGCCTAATTTAAGACAAAGAAGATTTACACCGGAAAAGAAGAAATACTTTTAAACCTATGGGTTGTGAAGCAGTGGAATAGACCACCTGGGGCTACTGGGGAGCTGTTTTCACTTAAAGACAACTTTGGGTGTCATGAGGAGCTTTAGACACAAACTTTTGTCAAGAGTAGTCTAGATAGACTTAGATCTGCTTTAACACAGGTTGGGGAGAAGAATGAGCATGATAACAACATGCAAGACTGACATTTCTACAGATCTCTGTCCAGCATTTCTTCTGCTGTGAGAAAGCAACCAGTCCTGAGCCAACCTGCTTAAAAGGTAAGAATAGCTCAAATTAGAATTAAATCAAGTTATCTCCAGCACCAGATCGTAGCACAGGGAACCAGAGCTCATCTACCTTTTGGGGTTGGAAGACCAGACAGTGACAAGGTGTGTCAGTCTGTAACAAGGATAAACTTCACAACGTTCCTGGAGTCTAGCTGAGCTGCTCCATCCGTGAGGCCACACTCCAACCCCCAGTTAACAGTGCAGCAGGCAGCCCAGGCCTGGCTGCCAGCCTCAAAGCTACCAGATCTCCCAAGACAGGCTTACACAAGGGCCCAAAAACCATAGAAAGTAAGCTCAGGGCTTTAACAGTCATTCTGCAAAGAAGTAACAGCAGAGCATGTGTCCTCTCTTGCTTCTCTATGGAGCATGCTGGAGCACTAGGGCCAGAAGAGCTTTTAAAATTGTTTTCTCCCTATTAGCAGCTTGGATGACATTTAACCCACAAACTCTGAAGAAATGGTAAATGTACGAAATGTAAATGCATCATCTGGAGAGCGATGAGTGAATGAAGGGATGGATGTAGAGATGGCATTAACCATGTGAGGAAAACATGATTCAGTTCTAGTTTTGTGTCATTATAGCTAGACATGTGCAATGTTGTACAGACACTTGCTATTTCACAGCAAGTCTCATCAATTAAACCTGTTTCTAATCAACAAGCAGCTCTTAAGATATTTGTACAATGGGAGGAAGGTTTACACTGACTACTACATCTAATTAAAAGTCAAATTAATGTAATTTCCCCTGCAGAAATCAATCCCTAATCAGACTATGCTGAGACTGCTGAAACCTATCCAACTGCAAAGACAGTAAATGCTTTGGAAAGATGCTGAATCTCTTTCCACACATTCCTCCGCTGCAATGTGAGGGTCCAAAAGTTCACATCCAAACCATTCACTCTATAAAAGCAGCAACAGACCTCAAATGACATCCCTGAGGCTTCAAAGGAAAAGAAATAAAAAGTGTTAGAAAACTTCCTAACTTCCTTCCTTTAGCCCCTCAAAGGCAGCACAACAGGCCATAAAACCCCGTTGATAAAACAATCTGCACACCACCTTCCACCACAATGTGGCCACAGTATTGCAGTCTTTGAAAGCTTCTTTGTGAAGGGAATGGGAGAAGAAAGCAGATTTTACTTTGGGATTTGCAAGAAAGAGGAAGACTGAGGCAAAGCCAGAGAAGCAAAGCAGTGCATTAGCAAAGCAGGTCAAAGGAATGAGAACAAGGTTTCTAAGCATAAAGAAGCCCAGAGAATGACTTGGGAAAGCTTCTGTTCACCCACTTAATGGCAGCAGAGAGATGAAAAGGCAGCTGAAAAGGAAAATGGCTCCTGTGTGTCACTCCCCACCCAAGAAGGGTTGGCTTTGATGCAATCACATAGATAGTGATAAGAAAACCAGGTAGAATCTGCAAGGAATTATTTGCAAACAGATGCTGTTCAGGAAAACCTGATGGGACCAGCATGAATTTGGAAACCATACTGGAAGTCTGTAGTTCACCACCAGCCCTGCTCCTTTAGCACAGCCCACAAAGAGAACTGCAGCAACTTCCCTCTGCCCCCTCTAGAAAATCCTGCAAACTTCAGCAGTTAAACATGAACCATTGGTTAGGGGGTATTATCTAACAACAGACCAGCAACAGAAGCTGAAGTAAAGACTCAGAAGCCTCACAAAAAGGAAGCAAAGTACCTGGCTTGAAGAGGCTATGGGGAGGACAGGGCAGATTAGGGCCTTTTTGATGAGTTATCTGAACAATTAATAAAGCCATCAGTTACTGTGCACCATGAGAAAAACAGAGCGAGGAGGCTGGGAGGGCAGCTGGGTCTGCCGGAGACAAATCATAACATATCAGGTTGATTTCCCGCTGTGTTGAGGGAACGGCTTAATGGAATGCAGGGGATTTTCTGTAGCTGTGAGTAAAGAACATTTAATAGGGTCCCAATTCTCAGGGCATCTAGAGATGTGGATTAAACAGATTCACAACTGGGTCAAATCAGCACATTTATACAGTAATTATTCAGACTTTCATATGCTCTTGAGGAGAGGGTCCCAGGGGTACCTGGATGGGCAATTTTCAGAAGGGAGTTGACAGGCTGGTTATGCTAAATAGATTCTTAAATGATACAAAATTGGGATTTTGAAAAAAAAATCAGTCTAGGAAGAAAATAATTTTAGCTGAAGTGTTTTGTGGCTGTGATGATCATAGGACTGAGAATGTCATTTTAATCAATTGGCATGATCAGCCTGAGCTTCTGCCAGGCCAAGTGGAAAGTGGGGCATGCAGGAAGCAGAGCAGTCATGTGGCCAAGAGGCTGGGGAAGGAGATGCTGGCTGAGGAGGGCAGAAGCCCTTGGGACAGAATAGATGACAACAGAAACAAGAATGTGTCTTATTTCCAGGGTACAGTAATAAGAGAAGCCTGTGTCACAGGAAGGCTATGGCCAAATGTCTTTGCATGTACTCCAGACAGGGTATTAAACAGCAGGTCAGAGACAAAAACTGGCACAAAAGAACACAGAAAAATGGCATGGAGGTGATTTCAAGTTGTTTTGCTCATATACTACCCAATGTCAGTGCTGGAATGACCCCAAAAGAGACTAAAAAGCATTCCATAAAAAGAAACAAAACCAACTCAGGTGCTAGCTCTGGAGCAGAGTAGACAGAGGGATGCAGAGCATTCCCAAACTCATGCAGACTCGTGATGGAGTGGGCAGGCGTCAATTACTCATCGATCAGCAAGGACAGAGCTAGGAGAGAGAATCATCTCTCGAACTGCTGGAGAAAGCTGCCAGAGTTAGAGATCTCTCCCTTTGCTGGAGCTGTAGTGATTCACAAGTGAGGAAAAACAGGCTCCCCTCAGACACCAGCCACTACAAAAACACTGCCTTCCTGTTGACATGGCTGTTGGACAAGAAAAGTTGCATGAGGGCTCTCTGGAGCACGGTGAGGAAGCTGGTTTGCTGAAGAATACAACTACCAACCCCAGTTATTTGAACTCAGTTTTGTCTTTGCTCGGTTATTTTTGTGGGACTTCCTACCATCAGTCTTCTCCTCTTGCAGGAGGAGACATTTCTACTAGGGAATGCTTTCACTTGCTTTGCTTGGGAACCCTATTTTGGGAGTGATGGAGGAAAGCAATGAGCAGAAATGTGCTTCACCAGCATCACATACTCTGCTCAGTCCCATACTTTGTGGTCCCTTTAACAACAGCAAAAAAGCAAAGTTGCTCTGTGTGATAAACCCAAAGTGGGAGCAGTCAGCTTCTCCCCATACGTATTACCACTGCAAAGCACAGCAGATCCTCATGACAAAAGGGACAGAGACTGACTGATCACCGCTGGCCTAAGCAGACTGGAGGTTCTTCTTCAGCCATGCAGGGAACTCCAGGAAGCCTTCAGATCTGTTGAGACATGGAGTGTCTGTCCAGATCCTACTCCTGGCCCTGCCTTTGGAGGCAGCCCAATGGAGTAACAGGGCTGCTCAGCTATACCCCAAATGCCACTGCCCAGGCCATAAGAAAAGGCTCTGAAAAAGGGTTGTTGATTCTGCAGAGTCAAGGCAGCTTACCAGCTCTTTGAAGAAAGCAGCCTCTTTGTGCTGCTCTGAGTAGCGCTCATACTGGTCCAGTCCGTCCTGCAGTTTCAGGGTCAGTGTGTCGTAGTTGGACCGAACCACTTCCAAAACCTGCCAGACACAGCCAAATACAGCAGAAGAGTCAGCATCTGCAGATACCTCATCATAGGAGAGGCAAGATTGAAACAGATCACAGCTCTGGCACCTGGTTTTGCAACAGAGATGGTTTTAACGGCCAATATGTGTCTCATTACTAACAACACGGAGGCAGGCACTAAAGTTTTCCTAATGCCAGTAAGGAACAGCATTAATTTATGGAATTTTGCCATTCATGAGAACACTGGATGGAGCTTGTAACTGTGACAGCAGCACTTTTCTGTCACCAGAAGTCGACACAATCTCAATAAATTAAGCAGCTAATTACCACATGTACACCCACATACAACACAGCAGGCACTATACAAACACAGGTCATTCCAAGGCTAGTTTTGCCAGCACACTCACACCTCTCTCCTGGCTTGTGGATCACCATTCACAACCTACTAAACCACCAGCTTCTACAGCTGCTCAGGTCAGCTTCCATACAGAGTGCTGCACTTCTTTCTCTCCTGGTAGGAACAAACTTCTGACAGGCACTAAGAGAAGATCAACTCTAGTGCAGATTCTGGTTTTGGAAACCAATGGAGAAACAAATCCAGGTCTTCCTGCCCAGGAAACACTTTTCTATCTGCCTTCACTGCAACCAAAGCACTCCAGCTTATATTACTGCCCTACTGTGCTCCCAGGGCTGGACTATACTTGCAAATTCATCATTACACATCTCTGTCCTATTGAACTATCCATTTTCCTAACTAGGGAACACCAAGAGGGACTCCCAAGATGCCTTTTAGCTTCAAAGCACTGCATGGACTAACGTATTCCTCAAAGCATTTGTGAGATGGTTAGTAACAATAATAATAATAATACAAGGAACCATAGAGCTCAGCGCTCCTGGGCAAACATATGCCTGAAACAATTCCCTTAAATACATGAACTTATTTCTTAGGCTGTTACCATTTGCTCTGAGAGCTAAACCGACTATCAACATCTGAGGTTTGCACTACAGTAGCCTCTGCTTATGAGAAGCCTCAGCCAGGAGGACACATAGTATAAGGCACAAAGGAAGAAGACTGCCCCAAGGCATCACAACTCAAAAAAGACCCTAAGAAAAGCACTCCAAAGGATTTAAGACAACAGTGACCAGGACAACAAGGAGCCACTGTACTTTCTTTGTCCTCCCAACAACGTAAACACTACTCTCAACTGCCCTTTTAAGCAGCTGGCAGCTCCTGCCATCGAGATGATTGAATCCTGTCCTTGTGTCTTTTATTCTAGGAAACCTGGACTTGCTTATGATTCCTTCAAAAGCTTGTTTCCCCCAAACTCTGCAAGGGGCAGTGGTGCAGAGACACTCATGCTAGGCCTAGGGCCTGAGGTGGCAGAAGACACAGAGAATCATCCAAAGGAGGACTGGGGGCAAAAAAAGGGTCCCAAACGTGGTTCCAAGTGAGATGGCCACACAGCAGTCTCTGCAGCTCAACTGTCCTCCAGCATTGCAGAGGCAAGTTAGGGGCAGGAATAAACATTTTGCAATGTTATTTAAGAACAACCTGCCAGTGTCCTGCGGCTGTAAAAGTACACAGCCTCCTCTCCAGGACTTATTTCCTAATGCTGTTTTGCTTCTCAGCTCCACTGGCAGAGAGAAAGAACCCCCTGCAATGATAGCTATCTCCAAATTCAGTCTGCTCTTCTTGTTCCTGTGTGCAGAACCTGCAGGAAGTATCACAGAGCCAAGAGCAATGATGAAAGAAAGCCACCTGGGCACAAGAACAACTATCCACTAGGGATGGAGTGTAATAGTATATGCAACTTCTTCTGAGCAATAAGGAATCTAGTAGCTTGCATAATCAGAGGGCTATCCTGTCAGTCTGAGGAAGCCAAATTGAGCAAAGTTAATAAGCTGCAGGGCAAAAACCTTTTTTGAATGGTAAGGAGTCACACAGGCTTCTCCAGCAGTAACTCAGTGAAGGCATTTTACTCAGGGCTACCCCACACCCCAGGAACCTTCCCCTGGGCTCCTCTTCACTCTCCTTGTGTCCCCCACATACACAGCCATGCAGAGTGCCATATGGGTATGGCAGGACAATGGATGTACATGCTTCAGAATTCCTCCTTGCTAGCTCTGAGTAGAGATCTCTTCAGATACTCAACAGAGGCATCCTCAAACCACAGTGAAGAGAAATAAACTCTGAGGGCAGCAGGGAGCTCTGTAACCAGTATCCTTTAAATCAGACCTTCTGCATCACCTTTGAAAGGCAGCTAAGAACTCAGTTTGATACTCTAGGAGGATAGGGAAGAAACTTGAGGTCTCAAAGTCTCTACTCTGTTACCCACTACTTATCGTAATCTCTGCAGTGAATTTGAGATCAGCTTATCCCTTTAGCTACATATTTCATTGGCTTCCACTCCTTATCTCCTTTAATTATGAAATAGAACTTAAAAAGAAAGGATAAGTTAAAAATAAACAGCTTCTCCCCACTGCCTGATAATTTCCCTTTCTTGCTGCTGCTTAGAAAAAAAATGCTACGTGGGATCTGAGATAAACCCACTCACAGATCATTTCACTTCATACCTTATAATGGATAGAAACTGTTACTGAGATTAGGACCTGCCATCCTTGAGATGATTTCAGCTGCTCTTTAAGATGCAGCTGCTAGACAGAGGACAGGTTAAAGATCAGGAAGAGCTATTAAAAGCATCTAACATGAAGGTTTAAAAGGCATCAGCTTTCCACACAGATGACAAAATACCACATCCTCTGTGCAACAGAAGACTGTGTGTTAGCATCCTTCGCCCTCCTTACACACTGCTTTAACTTTTCCTCAAGAAAACTACTGCAGGAAGAACAGCCTTTTGTATTAAACACACATGATCTTTATCTCCACCCTTTTGTCAGATACAAAAGAACTAGATGAATTTAATTTTGAGATTAAAGCATTTCTCCTTCAAGGTCTTGTCCAACCCAGTCTTCCTAGAAGTCTCTGCACCAGAAAACATGAATTCCAGGATGGTGAAGTATTGAATAACTTAAAAGAAGGAACTTCTGGCTGGATTCTTCCAAATAGATTTTAAATAGTCATCTAGTTTTTACAATCTCTCCAGAAGCTGGAAAAATACCAATTCCAGTATCAGGCAAGGATAGAGGAAACTGGACTGTAGATGATTTCCAAGGACACTCCTCAGACTACAAGGATAAACATGCAGGGCAAACTATTTAAAAAAAAAAAAGTTTGCTGGATCTTTACAGTGGAAAAAAAAATTAATGGAGTCACAACCTAAATCTCTTTTTGTAGGTTACCTTAGGGGGATCAGAGTCTTAAGAAAGCAATATGATGGAAGTGAGCAACTCAGATATGGCCAATACGAGAAGAGTGAAGGCTGATGAATTCCCTTCCTGCAGTTACCAGTATCAGCCCCGGTGGCTACATTCACTCATTTACTCCACTGCAACCAACCAGAAATCAGTAGAGCTGCACCACTGTAATTTAAAGATAATTTGCCATCAAATTAACCCCCTGCCCCACTACTCACTCACTGACTGCTTTCCAGAAGCTCCAGAGAAACACTAGCAATTCAGGTGTCCCCAGACCAACCTTCAGGAGCTGCTCTGAACAGCAAGTACTTTCTGTGGCACCCAGATTTTAGCTTCCTCCTGCAGCTACAACTCCTTGTGCCCCATAACTCTCCTTCCCCAGTAACACCAACAACCTGTGAATAGAGGCATTCCCCAAGTAACACAGCAGGAGGGCTGGCTGACAGAGGAGCTCATGTGGGGCTCAGCTCTCCACAGCATCCCACCCATGCCATGCCACTGCACCCACAGGAACAAGATTATTTTGCAGAGTTTTTGGCTCCTTACTTTGCTCCATCCAGCAATTTACTGCTACCTTGTAAACTGGACAGACAAGCTCTGGGTCAGTGGACTCTTGTGGACACAAGCTCTGCAACCAGTTCCCCCAGAACTAATTGCCCCCACCCCAACGTTTTCAGCATTCAAAAGAGACTGTGATTTTGCTGTACACACAGGCTCCTTCCTTACTGCACCAGAGCTGATCCCCCTGTCTGATCCTCAACAAGAGCAGACTTGCTGCACTCCCTCAGGGCAGACTGGACCTCCTGGAACAGCCTGTCCTGGGGAAACCTAGGGATTACACACAACACTCTGATTCCCATCCTGCCCTGGAGAACACAGCCACTATTACCAGCAAAGCCAGAGAGGGAGCTGCACCAGCAATGAAATCTAACAGGCAACACACAGAACTAGGGCTCATTTATCTGGTAGACACCGTTTGCTTCATTGCTTAATAACATTTTAACCTGCAGAAGCTTTCATCATCTGCAACTGCAGTTGCTCCCTTACTGGAACATAAAATTTGAGACCACCAATTCCCAGCACCCAGCAAAGGACCCGGTAGGTAAGTAGATTCCTGGAAGCATGCACAGGTAATGAAAGAAAAATAAAAACAGAAACAAGAAGAAATCAAGCTCTCTGCACTGTCTTTTTAATCAGTGCAGGACAGAATGAGAATGCAATCAGTCAGCATCACCAGTACCTCACTAAAGCCTCTCCATGCCCATTATACAGTCATTAGCTACCACAACACAGGAACAGTTGGAACAGAACTGATTGAATGATCTCACATCAAGCACAAGGCAAAGCCCCACCCCAACAATCCCCAGATTAAAATGCACTTGCCTCCTCACCAACTCCACATGGCTCATATGGCTGGGACAGGGGGAGGCTCTCCAGATCAGGCCTGGCAAACCCTCACAGGATGGAAAACCCAGGCACAATGTCCCAGCTGTGCCCACACCAGAGGATGGAGCAGCCAGTATATAATGCCAACCCTTCATCAGCACTACTGCACAGACATGGCACAGGGACTGAGGGCAGCAGGGGATAGACAAACATGCCTTCTGTCCTCCCTGCAGAGGTGGTGGAATGCCTGTCACTGCCTGCATACCACATGCAAAGGGAATCCTGGCAGTCCCACCTCCCAAACCTAGGCAAA